CCTGTTTTTCACGTTTTTTTTTGCTAATTTAACTTTAAATTTTTTCCAAGGAGTTCGCCGTTTTTTGTGTGCGTTTTAATTCAAGCCGACTAACCTGTTGTGTTTGCATGGCTATTATATGTGGACATTATTATAGTTATGTTTGACCTTTTTGTTCCAAAACTATTTTCAAAAATAAACTCTCAATTTTATCGAGCCATTTTCACCTTGTAAGTCGACCGCCTTGTGCGTTTGCCATCGACCTTGTTCGTATCACTTCAAATATTTTTACAAACAATAAAACCCTTGATCCAACATCAAGTGGCATTTTTCTCATAAAAAATCCAAAACACAATAAATATACGATTGGGATTATATACCATAAACTTTAAATTGGTGGAGAAGGAATGAGAATGGAACCTTCCTACACTCGTTCCGAATGTTTTGAATACAAGGCGCTCGACTTGGTTATTCGAAAAATTCATCTCTATCCAAAGTCTTTTGTGTAATCCTAATCAAGGACAATTTCTCCTCAAAAACTTAAAAATAACATCAACTCATCAAACTTATTTTCGCCTTAGGGCATCAATCCGAAAATCCTTTTTCAAGGTATAAAATCAACCAACAAATAACCATTTCATAAGCCTCCGAACTACATAGCTCTGGTTCTTCACTTCTTTTAAGTGAGGATACGTAGGCACAAAGGCCACAATCCTTGGCGAACATTAAAATAAAAAACCAAACCCTATTTTTTTCCTTAAGCAAGCAAACTTTTAATAAAAACACTCATTCACGCTAAACAACCTAGAAGGTTTCCATCGAGTACGATGGATGCGAGGGGGTGCTAACACCTTCCCCTCGCATAACCGACTCCCGAACCCTAAGACTTGGTTGCGATGACCATGATTTTTCCCTAAAGGTTTTATCGCTATTTACCTTTCCCTCCTTGGGATAAATAAAATCCGGTGGCGACTCTGTGTCATTTTTCGCGTAGCGACAAATACTCATTGTCAGAAACCAAAGAAGGAACAATCTAGTGGGAAATTATTTGTTTTATGAAGATCAGAGACTACTAGCCCAGACATGTTGATGTGTGGTATGTGTTTTATTATTAGTATTCCATTGACTACTATTATTGACATGGGGGTAGTGCATTCCTCTATTTCTCTTGAGAGTGTTGAGAGGTTGGGTTTGAAATTATCTTCTATGGTTGAGAGTATGGGTTGTTGATACCCCAACTCTGGGTCCAATAACTACGTCGTGGGTGTGTCTGAATTTTCCGTTGACGATCTATGGTAAGAGTTTTGGATGGGCTTAATATGTTTATCGTTGAGAAAAATTGATGTTATCCTTGGAATGAACTGGTTGGAGTTCAACCATGTTTATATTAATTGATACAATAAGACGATATTATTTCTAGAGTTCGTTGAAGATGAAGATTTGTTTGTATCTGCTAAGCAAGTGGGTGACTCTTTGAAGGATGATTCATAGGTGTTTATGATATTGGATTCTATGAAGTCAGAAAGCAGAGCTGTGATTGGTGAACTCGCAGTGGTGTGCAATTTTTTGGAAGTTTTCCTAGATGATATAAATGATTTTCTTCCATAACACGAGGTTGAGTTCGTCATAAACTTAGCACCTGGTGCTAGTCTTGTGTCGATGGCTCCTTACAAAATGTCCACTTCAGAGTTGAGTGAGCTGAAGAAACAATTGGAAGAGTTTATTGAGAAAAAAGTTTTTTCAACTTAGTGTTTTGCCGTGGGGAACGCCAGTATTGTTGGTCAAGAAGAAAAATGGTAGTATGAGGATTGATGATTTGATGGATCGGTTGATTGGTGCTTGCATGTTCAGTAAGATTGATTTGTAGTCAGGTTATCATCAGATTAGTGTGAAGTCGGAAGATATTCCAAAGACTGTGTTCAGGATGAGGTATGGTGACTGCGAGTATTCAACGATATTGTTCGGAGTGTATAATGTGCATGGAGTGTTCGTGGAGTACATGAATAGAATATTCCATCCATACTTAGATCAGTTTGCTATGGTGTTCGTCAACGACATTTTGGTATATTCAAAGTTTGATGAAGACAATGTGAGGCATCTGAGGGTTATGTTGCAGACCTTGAAGGAGAAGAAGTTGTATGTAAAATTGTCTAAGTGCGAGTTCTGGTTTAAGGAAGTGAGTTTCCCTGGTCACATGATTTCTAGTAGTGACATTGTTGTTGATTCTTCAAAGATCGATTTTATGTTGCAGTGGGAGACTCTGAAGTCTGCTACAGAGATCAAAAGTTTTCTTGGTTTGGATGGTTACTACAGGAGGTTTGTTGAAGGCTTTTCGAAGTTAGCATTGCCTTTAACTCAGTTCACTCGAAAAAGTCAAGCTTATGTTTTGTACATGCATTGTGAAGAGAGTTTTCAAGAACTCAAGATGAAGTTTACGTCTGCCCAAATTTTGATTTTGCCGAACCCAAGTGAGTCCTTTGTTGTGTATTGTGATGTTTCGAAGATATGAATGGGTGGCGTTGTGGCTTATGTTTCTAGACATTTGAAAGTTCATGAGAAGAATTATCCTACGCACGATCTACAGTTGGCAACCATGGTGTTTGTGCTAAAGATTTGTAGACATTATCAGTTTGGCTTTAGATTCGAAGTGTTTAGTGACCACAAGAGTTTGAAGTATCTATTCGATCACAAGGAGTTGAATATGAGACATAGGAGATAACTCAAATTTCCAAAGGATTATAATTTTGGCTTGAGTTACCATATGGGTAAAGCGAATGTTGTAGCCAATGCTCTAAGTAGGAAGTCATTGCATATGTTGATGCTAATGACTCGAGAGTTGAAATTGATTGAGCAGTTCAGAGACAAGAGTTTGGTGTGTGAAGAGACTCCCAACAGTATATAGTTAATTATGTTGAGGTTGACCAATGGTATCCTTGAAGAAATCATAGAGGGTCAGAAATTAAATATGGGATTAGTTGACCGACTTGTGTTGATAAATCAAGGAAAAAGAGGTGATTTTAGAATCGACGAGAATGGTGTAATGAGATTCAAAGATAGGGTTTGTGTGCCAGATGCGCCAGAGCTTAAGAAGAGTATTCTTAAGGAAGATTATAGAAGTGGTATGAGTATTTATCCTGGTGCCACTAAGATGTATCAAGACTGAAGAAAATGTTTTGGTGACCAAGAATAAAGAAGGAAGTGATTGAGTTTATTTACGCTTGTTTGACTTGTCAGAAGTCAAAGATTGAACATCAAAAACCATTGGGTCTGATGCAACAGTCGAGTATTCCTAAATGGAAGTGAGATAACATTTCCATGGATTTTGTGACGAGTTTTCCGAAGACGGCGAGAGGATGTGATTCCATTTGGGTTATTGTTGATAGACTAACTAAATTGACTCATTTCATTCTGATTAAGATTAGTTATCCCTTGCAGAAGTTAGTTGAGTTGTATATTGAAAAGGTTGTTAGTCAAAATAGTATTCCGTCGTGCATTATTTCTGATAGAGATCCGAGATTTACATCAAGGTTTTGTCAGAGTTTGTAGAAAGCATTTGTCAAATGGAGAGAACCATCCAATCTTTTGAGGATCTATTGAGAGCTTGTGTGCTAGAACATGGAGGTGCTTGGAATAGCTACTTGCCATTGATTGAGTTCACCTACAACTACAATTTCCATTATAGTACTGGAATGACACCGTTCAAAGTTTTGTATGCTATGAGGTGTAGCACACCTTTGTGTTGGTATGAATCCGGTGAGACTGCGGTGCTTAAACTTAAAATTGTGCAGTAAACATCTGAGAAGATCAAGATGATCCACGAGAAGATGAAAGTTTTGTAGAGTCACCAGAAGAGCTACCATGATAAGAGGAGGAAAGCACTTGTGTTCCAAGAGGGAGATCATGTGTTTTTGTGTGTTACTCCAATAAGCGATGTTGGTCATGCTTCAAAGTCTCGAAAACTTATGCCACATTTTGTTTGTCCATATCAAATCTTGCAGAGGATATGAGAGGTGGCCTATCAAATTGCCTTGCCACTGTCGAGCATTGTTGCATGTGTAATTGTTTGATTATGTTGATATTGGTGGATGATAATACTTGTGTAGTTGATGTGAATGAATGATGTGACTGTTGATGTTTGCTTAAGCTACCATTGTATACTTTTGCATCATTATATATTATGAGTGTATTCTCACTCTTTGTTGTTAGTGTAGTTCTGTGCTTCTTTTTAGGACACAAATGAGCAGGTAAGTGAGTAGTGACTTAGAAATTAAATGATGGTGTTGAGACTATTCTTATTTTTCCGTTTATGTAATATTTAAATTATGTTGCTTTGATATGTAACACTGAAAAGATGAACGTTTTGTTTTATTATTTGTTAATTGTTTTGAAGTTGTTGATGTTGAAGGCATTTTATCATAACTAAATTTAATATTATGAAACTTAATTGTTTATTAAATTATTTGATTTCATTTATTTTCCACTGCGATAAGTATATGTAAAGGGGGGCATGCAAGAACAATTTTTATATTATTATATATTTTATCTAATCCGTGTTACATAAAAGATCAGTGTTGACTGTTGTGTTTGGGTGACACTCAATATCTATATGGATGGTTGTTTTGAATTTGTTAGGTAATGAAGCAGCCACAAAAAGGATGATGCCCAAATCCAATGCACATAAATTATTAGCACACGAGGAACTTATCATAAAATCTTAAAGAAGATCTTAATGTTCACTTGCAACTTATTAGCATTTAGTAATATAGATTTTTTTATTAAGTGGAATCCACTTAGATCCAACAACTTGATGGGAACATTTCTTAATATTTTTTGTTGGAATGTGTTCTTCACTGTAACACTTTTAGCTCTTGCTTCCACCAACTTTCCTCACCTGGTTACCAATCAAAATGTAATCTTTCTTCCATTTCAATGACTTTCCAGTGTTTTCAGATGATGGGTATGAACAAGTTTCGATCTTTATTCTTAAAATTGTGTTGGGTGCCTTGTATTTGAGTAAAAAAATGAAGCAGTTTATGGTTTCGCACCTTGTGATTTGGATTCAGGTAATCCTCTTTTTTGGTATTGCTGATAGTGAAAGGCCTGAAAGTGTGAAAATTGGAGCAGTTTTTACCTTCGATTCTGTCATAGGTAGAGTTGCAAAAGCAGCTATGGAAATGGCTGTTTCTGATGTCAATTCTGATCCAACTGTTCTTAATGGTACCAAGCTTAACTTGATAATGAAGGATGGTATGTGTAATGCTTTTCTGGGATCAACTGGAGGTACCAAGCTTCAACCTTAACACTTTTCTTGTTTTCTTTTTTTATCTGTGTTGGCTTTTTATCTTCAATTTTGTTAGTTTTCTATGTTGTTGACTTGTTGCCTCTTAATTGTGACAAATTTTGGGCCATGTGCGGTAGCCTGCCTTGCACACCCTAAAGACGGCCTTGATTTGATCCTAACTAAGTATACTATATTTGGAATTTCAAGCGACAATTTATTACTTTCTTAGGTTACAATTCTTGTTGATTTTTCATTCTGTTGCATTGGTTTCATTATTAATTTAGAAAGTTTGTTCTTTGGATGCAAATTTTCCAATTTTAAATTTGCATTTGTATAGTTTAGTTTCTACTCTCTGATTTGAATATTTTCTATATACAGCTTTTCAGGTTCTTGAGCAAGGGGTTATAGCCATAATTGGTCCACAATCATCCGCTATGGCTCATTCGATTTCTCAAATAGCGGATGCTGTCCATGTTCCCCTTATTTCATATGCTGCAACTGATCCAACCCTATCATCCCTTCAGTTTCCTCTATTTTTCCGTACCGTACAAAGTGACTCAGAGCAAATGTCTGCAATGGCCGATCTGATCGACTTTAACGGATGGAAAGAGGTCATTGTTGTATACTTGGACGATGATTACGGAAGAAATGGAATATCTTCTTTGAGCGATGAACTTGAAAACAGGAGATTGAAAATAGCTCACAAACTAGCTTTGAGTATTCAGTTCGATCTGAACGAAATCACGAAATTGCTCAATCAATCCAAAGTATTTAGCCCTCGTGTTTTCGTTGTTCATGTCAACCCTGATCCGAGATTGAGAATCTTTTCCATCGCTCGCAAACTTCAAATGATGACTAGTGACTATGTATGGCTTGTCACAGATTGGCTCGCTGCTACCCTACATTCGTTTCTGCCAGCAAATCAGAATGCTCTTAGCATCGTTGAAGGAGTTGTCGGTCTTCGTCAACATATTCCAGATTCTAATAAAAGAAGAGATTATATTTCTCGGTGGAAAAAGATGCAAAAGGAAGGTATAGCAAATACTAGCTTGAACTCTTACGGATTCTTCGCGTACGATACAATTTGGACTGTTGCACATTCAATTGATAAATTTTTGAAAGTATATAAAAATATTACGTTCACGCTCCATGACAACAATATGGTAGCTCATACAGAAGGAATCGGTATTCAGCTTGAGAAGCTCAAAGTTTTTGCTGGTGGATCTGATTTTGTTGACATATTATTAAAGTCAAGTTTTAGCGGCGTGAGTGGTGAAATTCGATTTAGTTCAGACAGAAATATCATAAGTAGTGGTTATGATGTTATCAATATCAATCGAATGAAAATTAATAAGGTTGGTTATTGGTCTAATCATTCAGGATTTTCAGTTGTTCCTCCCGAAGTTCTTGCAAAAAAGGAACATCGCGGGGTTTCTGTAGATCAGAAGCTTGCCAATATAACTTGGCCAGGTGGGAAAACAGAACGACCGCGTGGTTGGGTGATTGCTGATAATGCGAAGCCGTTGAGAATTGGAGTGCCAAAGAGAGCGAGTTTTGTTGAATTTGTAACTGAACTGAATGATAGTCACCAGATTCAAGGGTATTGTATCGATATCTTCGTGAAGGCATTGGAGTTTATTCCGTATGAAATTCCTTATGTTTTCAAGCCGGTTGGAAATGGTAAATCAAATCCAAATTATGATGCACTTGTAAAAAAGATTGACGAAAACGTAAGTGAAACTCATCATGGAAAAAAAAAATCTCAAAATTCGCCATTCGCTGTTCTATTAGATATTAGTCGCTCGTGCAATCATGCTTGTATGTGTTTAACAACAACGCGGTTATGTGAAATTTTGGTACAGGTATATGATGCAGTTGTTGGAGACATTGCGATTGTGACGAACCGAACAAAGATTGTGGACTTTTCTCAGCCTTTTGCATCATCTAGTCTTGTTGTAGTGGCTCCTATCAACCGTTCAAAATCAAATGCTTGGGTATTCCTCAAACCATTCTCACCAGATATGTGGTGTATCACTATTGCATCATTTTTCATGATAGGAGTGGTTATATGGATTCTTGAACACCGAGTCAACGACGAGTTCCGTGGTCCTCCTAAGAGACAAATTGTAACAATGTTTATGTAAGCCATTTTAGTAACTTCATGCAATTTTCTTATTATCTGGTGTTTTAGATTCTAACTCCACACATTTTATTTTGTTTTTTAGGTTCAGCCTCTCAACATTGTTTAAGACAAATAGTAAGAAAAAGCTCTAAACTCTAATAGTTTTTGTTTCTTACCATCGATCTAATAAACTCTCGCATTGTCATGTAATCAGATAATACCGTAAGCTCGCTCTCGAAAATGGTGTTGATAGTCTGGTTTTTCTTACTGATGGTGATCACAGCTAGCTATACCGCAAGTTTGACTTCAATTCTCACAGTGGAACAACTTTCGTCGCCAATCACAGGAATTGATAGTTTGATTGCAACTAACTGGCCTATCGGATACCAAGTAGGGTCATTTGCTTATAGCTATCTGACAGATAATCTTTACGTATCAAGTTCAAGACTTGTTTCCTTAGGCTCCCCTGAGGAGTACGCCGTAGCACTTCGAAACGGACCGTCCGGTGGTGGCGTAGCAGCTATCGTCGACGAGCTTCCGTACGTTGAGTTGTTTCTGTCAAAAGAAACAGATTTCGGTATTATCGGTCAGCCGTTTACCCGAAGCAGTTGGGGATTCGTAAGTGCTTTCTAACTAGAGACTCTTCAATATACACGAGAGTCGCTTAAAAATTGTCCCAAAATGAGCGGCGCGTATTCAATTTTCAATGTAATATTAATTACAATTTTTCAATTGTATCAGGCTTTTCAAAGAGACTCTCCTCTTGCACTTGACATGTCAACCGCAATTCTAAAACTCGCCGAAAGTGGAGAGCTTCGAAAGATACATGAGAAATGGTTTTGTAAAATGGGCTGTCCCGGTGAACGGAAAAGCGACCCTAAACCCGACCAACTTCACTTGATCAGCTTCTGGGGCCTATATCTCTCATGCAGTGTCATCTCTGTCATCGCGCTTGTTCTGTTTATGCTGCGAATGATCCGCCAATATGTTAGATTCAAACAAAGACAGAAGGACAGCGCTGCCTCATCGTCGGAACCGTCGGACAGTCATTGTTCCCGCGTCATTGTGAACTTCTTTAATTTCATTGATAAAAAAGAAGATGCAATCAAGAAAATGTTCACTCAATGTGAAAATCCTCATAACCCCAACTCAGAGTTATGATAGTGCGAAACAGTAATGGTAATCATGTACATAGTATTTGTAGAAGCACAAATATTTGTCTAGTTTTTGAAAAATGTTGTCCTGTCAACAATGATTTGCTACATTATTTGAATGAAATGTAATAAGTTAATAATAACATGTTGTGAAAATATAGTTTAATGAATTTGAAAATCTTTATTATATGGATTTTTGTATTCATAGATTAAAACATGACCACTGATATTATATAAGACTGTTGCTTAGTCACATAACACTAGTCCGTTTTTGCTATAACAAAACAACCAAGATTATCTCTAACATACATTCGAAATCTAATCAAGTTTGATGTTGTAATTAGACACTATCTACATCGTATTTGAAAGAATTGGATGAGGAGATTTCATATGATTTTTGTTGTAAAATTGAAAAGTTCGATTGTAAAAAAAAATTTAATGGGTAGGGACGAAGAATATTGCCAACCAAAATAAATAATTTTCATATAATTCTCTATTTAGTAAAACATTAATTTAACCGGGTAGCAAAAGATAAAATACAAGAAATACATTAACTTGATTCATTATGAGAGAGAAAGAAAGCAGCTCTCTAATTCATTATATTTGTTACAAAAAATTACAAATGAGTTATAAGAAAATAATTAGTAAACTCTCAAAAACAAATTCAATTTTCTACTCAAGTGTTCTATCTCTCTCATTCTTTATAAATGAATCAGTTCACATAAGCCTAAAGTGTTTAAAAATGTTTTTTAATCCCCGTAGATATATCCAAGGATTTCTTGAATTCCAATAATACAATCTTAAGAATTTATCTTTGTCTTTTTAAAACTATCACTAGGATTCCCAAAATTTTATCTCTGTCTTCAGCTCTAAATTTTTGAAGCTTGTAAAGACAATAATGATAAAGATACATGTTTATAATTTATGAAATATAACAGATCTAAAATAAACCTAAGACTCAACACATTAATAAACGGATCCACAAACCAAGAAAATAACGAAGCCCAATACAAACGAACCGAGCAAACCGAACCAGAACTTCGACTGGCTGAATTGTCTGCCGGACCTGAACTCATTGTCTCACTCCGCCGCCGAGCTCATTTATGGTTTATGCAATCTCAAAACATGTTTTCTTTCTCTTTTTCGCTTAAGGTTTTAAGAGACACTTCAAAAACCTCCACCTTAACTTCAAATCGTGGTGATACTATTTTACTCATCTAGCACCATACTGCTCTCTACCAATTCAACATCTATTGAATGATTTGATTAAGTTCAAACTTCGCTTGAACCTTGATCTTGTCACTTGCACCCATTTGCTCTCAACCACCTTTTTCTACTTCAGTAGTCTAATAAGTCTACAAGTATGATTTTTCAATCATTTTTTACTCCACCTACTTTCGAATGCCTCCCCGAAGGTCCATATTTATGAGTTTTTCAATCGTTCATCCACATTCAAAACATAACTCACAATACTTGCATAATTGTCCCTTTGAGATTGTACAATCTCCCTCCTTATTACTTTATCACGAGTCAAATGATAATCAAAGGTTTCTATGATTGTTATTTTACTACTACTAGTATCAATAGTAGGAACCTCCACCTTAAAATGAATCTTCTCCTCCATAGTTTTCAAAATCTTCATCTCGAAGTCTTTACTCTTCTTCCCTTAACATGACTCGCTGAAATTAATATATCTGAGATTGATGAACTTTAACCTTCTAGGTTTCACTCCCAACTACTCATAACTCTTCTTACTTCTTGGATAACCATTGAAGCATAATCCACAACTTTACAATCAAGCTAATTTGGCTTGATTTTATTAATAAGAAAAAAAATTTATGACCTTCAAAATAGAGCAGGTTACAATATTCCTATTCCAAACCCCCATAAGTGTTTGGAATTTTATTTATATAAATGAATACCTGTTGATCAAGTAAACTGCTTTGACATTAGCCTTACCCCAGAAAATCCATGACAACTAAACGGTCAAAACAACCTTCTAAAATATTGAATGAAAACAACCTTCATGCATCCACCATGCTTTGACCCCAAATTTCATAACTTGTTTTTTTCATGAATGTATTCACTAGCTAATAATGAATGAAAAACAACATTGAAACATTCTAAAATATACAAGCCGCATATTTTGACCCATTTAGCTATTAGCACTTCACCATGTGAAATCTTCAACATCCCATTTAGCTATTGTTTTTTTCATGAGTTTTGGAACATACCTCACATTGTGAAGAAAAAACTCATGATCATCGAAAATTTTAAATCTGAGTGTACCAATATTAAGAACCTTGCAAGCCTTATTGTAACCAAGATGGACTACTCCATCTTCCTCTAACTTCAAAGTCTCAAAGTATTATTTTTTGGACACATATGATTTGAGCAACCTAAGTCCATGACCTAACACTTTTCAATCTCCAAACTCAACACCACTAGTGCACCATCACTCTCATAACTATCCTTATCAAAGGCAACAACAATCTAAACAAAATCTTCACCATCCCCCATCTCAGAACAATTGCTCTTGAAGTGACCAAATTTCTGTAAAATAAAACATTTAAATATTAACTTGTCAAACCTCTTTGATTCGAACATACCTTTGCACTCACTTCCTCCTCTTGAGACACTCAAAAATTCACTTCTATAATCAATCTCCAAATCATTCATCTTTAAAAATTCTTTGGGCCTCACAATCGTCTGAACTTCATCTAAAGTAACAATATATTTCTTACCATAAAGAAAAACATCCTTAAAGTGATAAAAGGATATGGGTAATGAGCTCAGCAAGAGTAAATCATTGTCCTCTTCTTCAAATTTTATGGTTTATGCAATCTCAAAACATGTTTTCTTTCGCTTCATCACTTAAGGTTTTAAAACATACTTCAAAATTTTCCACCTTGACTTGAAATTATGGTGATACTAATTTACCCATCTACTATCATATTGCTCTATGCCAATTTAATATCTATTGAATGTTTTGATCAAGTCCAAAATTTTCTTGAACCTTGATATTGCCACTTGCATTCACTTGCTTCCTGATTCGCTGTCGCACACGGGTCAAAAATGAGTTTAGAAAATGCAGTAACGGGAAGCGACACTCGAATATCGTAAAGAAAACATAAAGAAAACTACCCAATTCTAATTATTTTAACTAGTCTAAAACTTCAACGAATTATTTGACCATCCTTCACTGTGAATTGGATTTTGACTTCAACACAAAACTTGTATATCTTTTTCTTAGCTTTCCAACTCATATCAGAATGCATCAATTAGATTCTCGAAGCTCAATTATGGTCTGCACAGTGCAAGATATCAAATAACTGTTCAATCTGAAAATAAAGTACAAAAATAAAATAAAGCCAAAAATAAACTTAAATATAAAAACACACTAAAATAACAAAAATAGTAGAATAAACTATGGAGTTGTCTAAGTACAATAGTAGAATAATGTGCATCAAAATATATTGATCACTCCCAACCATATTATTTTTCTTTAGTAGTCTAATAAGCCCACACATATGGTTTTTCAATCATATTTGAATCAACCTACTTTCGAGTGCCTCCCCGAAGGTCCGTGTTTCTGAGCTTTTCAACCCTTCAGCCAAATTCAAAGCATAATTCCCAATATTTTCATAATTTTCCATTTGAGATGGTACAATCTCCCTCTTTAATTTATCATGACTAAAATGATAATCAGAGGTCTATGTAATCGTTCCATCACTACTACTAGTATTCATAGTAGGAACCTCCACCTCATACTGAATCTTATCCTCCATATTTTCCAAAAGCTTCATCCTGGAGTCTTTACTCTTCTTCTCATGGCATGACTCATTGAAAGTAATATATCTATGATTTATGAACTTTAGTCTTCCAGGTTCCACTCCCAAAAACTCATAACTCTTTTTACCTCTTGGATAGCCATTAAAGCATAACCCATAACTTTACCATCAAGCTGAATTACCTTGATTTGATTAATAATAAAAGTTTTGATGACCTTCAAAATAGAGCAGGTTATAATATTCCTAATCAAAATCCATGACAATTCAATGGTCAAATGCGTTTTTATTCAATTTTCTTATGCAAAAATCATTAAAGTGATCTAAAAAAACCTTTATGCATCCACCATGCTTTGACCTCAAATCTCATAGCTTGTTCTTTTCATGAAAGTCTTCACAAGCTAATGATGAATGAAAAACAACATTGGAATGTTCTAAAATGTATAAGCCGCATATTTTAGCTCATTTAGCTATTATCACTTCGCCATGTGAAATCTTCAACACCCAATTTTAAACTATAGTGTAATAGTCTAGATTACCAAACATGCTTATAGATAAGATATTTCACCAGAGTTCTATAACATCTCACATTGTGAATAATAAACTCATGATCATAGAACATTTTAAGTTTTACCGTACCAATATCATGAACCTTGCAAACCTTATTGTCAGCAAGATGGGCTACTCTACCTTCCTCCAACTTCAAAGTCTCAAAGTATTATTTTCTTGGACACATGTGATAAGAGAAATATGAGTCCATGACCTAACCCTCTTCAGTGTCCAAACTCGATACCACTAGTGCACGATAACTCTCATAGCTATTCTTATTAGAGGCAATAATAATCTAAACATAATATTCATTATCCTCCATCTCATGGAAATTGCTCTTGAAGTGACCAGATTTCTGAAAAATAAAATCATTCATTAACTTGTCAAACCTCTTTGATATGGACATCCTTATACACTCACTTCCTCTTCTTGAGACACTAAAACCTTCACTTCTATCATCAATCTTCAAATCTTTCATATTTAAAAATTCTTTGGGTCTCACAATCGTCTGAACTTCATCCAAAGTAACAATATATTTCTTACCATAAAGAAGAACATCCTTAAAATGCTAAAAGGATATGGGTAGTGAGCTCAACAAGAGTAGATCCTTGTCCTCTTCTTAAAATTTTTCTTCAATATTCCACAGATCATCAATGATCTTGTGAAATTA